GAGGTACACCTGGGATGCCAAATAACACAGTGATAGATTTGCAAATTACCACCTTCAAATCATGGCTTTTCAAAGCTGAAAAGAAACTTGGAGATCATGCAGTTCCCCCCTCAAGCCCATTTTTTTATGAAGAAACTGAAGCACAGAAGAGGAAAAATTTGCCTGCCAGGGAGAGAACCAGGCCAGACTGGCTCCATACTGCCTACTAATTTTCTCCAGCCACATGTCCCATTTCTTTAGATTGTACACTCACAGAAGACTGAGATCCCCTCTATACATACACACTTCCATGTATGTACTCACAGCTTAGTGATTGTGCAATTTTCTTGCCTACATGAAGTGTCTGTTTATACCATGAGGTTAGAAAGGGAAGATCAAGTCAATCACAATAGAAAAGCAATAATAATTCTCTAACTCTTCCAACTCTATTATTTTTAAATTACCATCTTTTATTTATAGTCTTTGTAACTAAAGCAAAACTTGGGCATTTGTCTTCATGAAGGCAAATTAAGACCTTGTAACTGGGGTGTTTTCCCATTTTTGAACATAAGTTTTGTTTTGTTTTGTTTTTTGAGACAGAGCCTCAAGCTGTTGCCCTGGGTAGAGTGCTCTGGCATCACAGCTCACAGCAACCTCCAACTCCTGGGCTCAGGCGATTCTCCTGCTTCCGCCTCCCAAGTAGCTGGGACTACAGGCGCCAGCCACAACACCTGGCTATTTTTTGGTTGCAGCTGTCATTGTTGTTTGGTGAGCCCAAGTTGGATTTGAACCCGCCAGCTCAGGTGTATGTGGCTGGCGCCTTAGCAGCTTGAGCCATAGGCGCTAAGCCTGAACATAAGTTTTTTAAAAAAGAGCTTGTACTGGGAGATCACTTTAAATATTGCTATGCAAAGCATGGTTGCCCCATATCCCACCTTGTACTGTTGAAGGCACTGGCATTATCTGGAAGCTTATTAGAAATGTAGATTCTATGGCCTCACCCTGAAAGCAACTGAATCAAAATCTATTTTAACAAGATCTTTGGGTTAACTATAGGCATATTAAAGTTTCAGAAGCACTGATCTAAATAAAACACTTCCCGAGTCAGGAACAGTGCCATACCTGTAATCCTAGCAACTTGGGAGGCCGAGGCAGGATAATCACTTGAAGCCGGGGGGTTGAGGCTGCAGTGAGCTATGATTGTGCCACTGGACTCTAGCCTGGGCAACAGAATGATACCCCCCCAAACAAAACAAAACGCTTCCTTATAGGTAGCACCCCATTTACAGCAATCAAAATATGAAAAAAATAGCTGGATAAAATGAGAGAAGAGGCCAGGTGTGGTTGCTCATGCCTGTAATCCTAGCATTTTGGGAGGCTAAGACAGGAGGATCATTTGAACCCAGGAGTTTGAGGTTGCAGTGAGCTATGATGAGGCCACTATACTTTAGCCTGGATGACAGAGTGAGACTCTGTCTCCAAAAAATAAAAAAATTAAAATAAATAAAAATTTAAAATGAGGAAAGGAAAAAACTAATTCCTGTGAGAATGCATTGATGTATACCTGGACCACAGAATAATAAATTAGTATGATTTATTTGATAAGTAAGCTCTAAAACATAATTCTAGAAGCTGAAGTTGAATTTAGTCATTCATGTGATATTTATTCATTCAATGTTCACTCTATAAACAAAGATCTAAAAAAGACAATTTCTTGCTTTTACAAACTTAGTTACACACAAGGGCTATTGCATATCAAGTAACATAGGAGAAGGCTCAAAGTGTTAAGTATTGTAAAGAGATATGTGGGGCCCAGAAGAAAATTCACTGGGAGAGGGGAACAACTAAAATATTCCTGTGGTCCAGTAGTCAGCAACCTATGGCTCATTAAGCTATTCAGAATGGAAACAGTTGTGGCCCACATGGTTCTAATGGCCCAACTTCCATCAGAGTTTAGTCAACAGTGATAAGTAAAACAAGTTCACTAATAGAAGAGTTGCTACATAACTGCCTGGCAGTCAGACAAGCTTTCACAGGCTAGGGGATATCACCACTGGTCATCATTAAAAGGGATGATTTGAGATTGCCAGTATCAGTTTATGTCAACCATGTGCTGCCACAAAGCTGTGTAGTAAGTACTCGTGGGCAAGTGGGGACATTCAGCTGGATAAATAGCTTAAAGGCTGCTGATCTCACTCTGGGCAGCTGCAGTATTGTGAAATATGTATTTAGTCTTCCACCTGTTTCCTGGAGTATGACTCTGAAAATCCTTAGAATCTCCAAAGTGATGCTTTTACTATGCTAATAAGTTAACTCATGGTAGGTTCAGGACAGAGACTAGTCCCCAGAAGTTCAAGGCAGGTTGAGAGGGTTGAAACTTTCAGCTCCAACCACTACCTCCAAGAAAGGGAGAGGAGCTGAAGGTTAAGTCAATTGCCAATGGCCAATACTTGAATCAATCATGTCTCTATAACAGTGGTTCTCAACCTTCCTAATGCCACAGTGTATTTTGATTGTTAAAAATGGGTCGCAACCCACAAGTTGAGAACTGCTGCTCTATAACAAAGCATCCGTAAAAAACAAAAAAGGAATGGGTCCAGAGAGCTTCCATATAGCTGAACAAGTGGAAGTCCCAAGGATGGTGCTCTGAGACTTTTCCCAAATGCCTTCTCCTATGCATCTCTTTGTCTGTATCCTTTATAATAAACTAATAAACTTAAGTGTTTCCCTGAATTCTGTGAGCTGCACTAGCAAAATTAATTGAACCCGAGGAGGAAGTTGTGGGAACCCCAATTTATAGTCAGTCGGTCAGAAGCAGAGGTAAAATAAACTTAGAACTTGTGATGAGCACCAAAAATGGGAGGGTATTCCTGCAGATGGAGCCCTGAAATCCGACACTATTTCCAGGTAGACAGTGATAGAATTGAACTGATATGAAGGACACCCAGTGGGCATCCATTGCAGAATTCATTGCTTGCTTGGTGTCTGAGGGAAAACCCCCATATATCTGGTCACAGAAGTATTCTATGTTGGCTGTCATTGAGTGAGAAAATACAAAACCACCTCCCTCCCCCATATTACATAGCAGCTAACATAGCAGGAAAGAATGACAACCAAAAAATTGAAAAGGGAAGGAAAGAAGACAATTACAAAGAGAGCTGAATACTGAATCCAAAAGAGAAGATGATGATGACAGCAGCTAAAACTTGGATATATGCAGTCATCTTAGAATGAACAGAAACGTCAATGCTCTATTGTCCTATGGAAAGGCATATAAATATCAGTGAAGACACCTAAAGGCAAACCCATGTCCACTGTGCTTCCTCATACAAGCAGTTCCTTCAAACACATGAGAATTTAAAAAATCTTCAACCCAGATTCCCAGTAGGCAACCATAATCTCCATGATATAGTCTCAAAGACTATAATTTTACACATAGAGTAAGCACATGATACCAACAGACAGCATCAGAGTGTTTGAAAATCATTACAATAAATAAAAGTAGAACACAGTTGACGATTTCCCATTTAACTCCCACGTTGCATAGAAAGATCTCCAAAATATATTGTTGAGTGAAAAACAAAGTTGGGCACAAAGACATAAAGAATGACATCAGGCTCGGTGCCAGTAGCTCAGCAGCTAGAGTACCAGCTACATATACTGGAGCTGGCAGGTTTCAATCCAGCCTGGACCAGCCAAACAATGACAACTACAACCAAAAAATAGCTAGGTATTGTGGCAGGCACCTGTAGTCCCAGCTACCTGGGAGGCTAAGGCAAGAGAATCGCTTAAGCCCAAGAGTTGGAGGTTGCTTTGAGCTGTGACACCACAGTACTCTACTGAAGGCGACATAATGAGACTCTGTCTCCAAAAAAAGAATGATATCATACATAATAACACACAAACAAACCCAATATTACATAGTTTTTACAGATAACAGGAAAAAGTCTTAAAAGATACGTATACCAAATTGGAAAACAGTGGTTACTTCTTGATAAAGATAAATAGCCAGGATTGAGAATGATGATTAATGGAATTTTACACTCAATTAAAACATTTTGAAGTTTATTAAATGTATAGATATGTAAAAGAAAAACATATCCAACATTTTTTATTTTCTTTCTTTCTTTTTTTTTTTTTAGACAGAGCCTCAAGCTGTCACCCTGGGTAGAGTGCTGTGCTGTCACAGCTCACAGTAACCTCAAACTCCTGGATTTAAGCAATTCTCTTGCCTCAGCCTCCTGAGTAGCTGGAACTACAGGCACCTGCCACAATACCCGGCTATTTTCTGGTTGTAGTTGTCATTGTTGGGTAGTCCCAGGCCAGATTTGAACCCACCAACTCTGGTGTATGTGGCTGGTGCCTTAGCTGCTTGAGCTACAGGCCCTACCATCCAATATATTTTAAGGGAAAAAAGTCAACATGCCAAATAGTGTGTATTGTATAACCCCATTTGTGTTATGTTAAAATAATATATGTTTATACATTTGTACTGATATTAAGAACACCTAGAAGGGCCTAGCACCATGGCTCATACCTGTAAGCCTAGCACTTCGGAAGGCCAACTTGGGAGGACTGCTTGAGGCCAGGAGTTTGAGACCTGCCCAGTGCAGGCCCCATGTGAGGTCCTTCCACCAGAACTAATCCATAGAAGGACTAGTTCAAATACTGAATTGGTGTCAAAGGCATAGTATCCCTAAACTGAATTTTTGATTCTCTCATTCTCCAAATCCATCCCTCCTATCACCAAGATTTGGGCTTTATATTCCCATCTCCATACACAAGATATCCTCAGCATTGACAAATAAATCACAATATCGTATATAAACACATTAAGTATTTGTGGCATATCAGGCTCCATAGAGGTAGAAAAGATGACTCTAACATCACTGCCACTTGACATTAGGGAACATTTTACAAAAATCTAAAAGAGCATTCTAGAACAGATAAAACCTCAAATTCAAATGAGGCAATCCCTCACTGGAGTTGTCCAGGATGAGAATCTGACAGCACTCACTTACCCCCATGACTCTGCCACGCTGCTCAACATCCTCCCACATAAAATGAACTATGATACGACACATGTATTTCCCACTCCGGCCTTCCTGCTTCATTCGGACTAGACACATCCTGAGTGGGAAGAAGAAACGAAGAGTTACTGGCTGTGTGCATTTTTCACATCACACTTTTCCACCTGAATGTCTGCTCATCTAAAAGTGATTTTAGGCTCGGCGCCTATAGCTCAACCGGCTAAGGCACCAGCCACATACACCTAAGGTGACGGGTTCGAATCCCCAGCCCGGATCCGCCAAACAACAATGACGGCTACAACCAAAAAATAGCCGGCCGTTGTGGCGGGCACCTGTGGTCCCAGCTACTTGGG